CCCCAAGCCTGTAGCGTCCATGGGGTTATTTCGACTGAAGTTCAGAACCTGGCACTTGGCCTTGTTGAAGCTCATCCAGTTGCCCTCAGCCCATGGATTCAGTCTGTCCAGGTCCCTCTGCAGAGCCTTCCTACCCTCAGGCAGATCAACACTCCCTCCCAACTCAGTGTCATCTGCAAACTGACTGTTATCCCCGCCTTCCCCTTGCTGCAAACCCCTGGGAGCCCAGGCCACCAGCCCTGCCCTGGTGACCACCTCCTCTCCACATCCCCCACTATGGAATGCGAGCCCACACCTGATCTCTGTCAACTTTAACCAGAAACCTCCTCAGCAGCCAGGGGCAGTGGCCCCATCAGCAGGACTGGGCTGGGGAGAGCCCTTGAGGTTTCAGCCAGACTCTTAGAGCAGCGCAGGCTCCAGACGCCCCGCAGCGAGTTGCCCACCCTCGAGCAGACCCTTGGCAGCCCCCAGCCAAAAGCCAGGTCCCCACAGCCCCTCTCTCCATCAGGGCCCAGCCGCAGGGTCTGCACAGAGGCCCGCACAGGCTGCCGGGCCGGGCTGCTCACCCCAGACCTCTCCAGTCCTGCTCAACTCACTTGCGTCTTGGAAATCCACATCGTTCCCGATGTTGGCGTTGCCCAGCCGATTCGTCATGATCTTCAGCTGCATGATTTGCTGGCGAATGGTCATATCTGGCTTGGTGATGTCCACCTCCACCTCCGGGTTGTTGATCTGGTTAGCTAAGCCGTCCCCCATCACTTCAGGCAGGTAGCTGCAAAGGAAGGGGACAGGTTTAGGTGTCTCCCCCCAGCTCTCCCCGTTACAGACACCAGTGATAACCCAGACTCTCTGAAGCCCAGAGAAGCTACAGCATTTCAGAGCAAGTGTGGATAGGAAGGCACATATGCAATGCTCAGCAACAGCTCTGGAGTTTGTGAGGTCAATCCAGCCCTTCTGCCTTCAGAGTGCACGTGGAACTGCAAAACTGCTTCATTAGTACCAAACTACAGCCTCATTTCCTGGTGAATGCATTTCAGTGCTTAACCATCCAACACACAGCAAAATGACAACAGGCTTGACATTGCCAGGGACGAGTTTTTCAGGAAACTCAGCATTTCTGGGGACAAGGACAGACGTTTTGGCCCATCTGAACAAGCTGAGATGATGTATGAGTGCCTTTTACCAAACCCTCCTTCTCTCCCCCCAGAACGGTGCTGTCCTGGCCCCCTGCCCCTCTCCATACCTGCCCCTGGTCATCCCGTTCCAGCACTTGTCGTCCGCTGCCGAGCTCGCCATTACTTTCTTGCTGCACAGGCTGCCGGGCAGGGTGATCCAGTAAGTCTTGAGAGCTGTCAGATTCCCTTTGGCATCTAAAACCTGCAAACAAGGAGGATGCTCAGGGCCAGGTTTGCTCTGGGGCACCCCAGCCTATGGAAAGGACAAGGATTCTGGCTATTTTGGGGTTTTTTTCACCATCACAACATCTGTTTCTACGCAGACAGGGATGTGTCACCGACCTTCCCCTAAAGACCAAGGTTGGTGGGAGCCAGCGGGGCTCTGCTGGGCTGGGGCAGTGCCTGGGGAGCCTCTGAACTGTGGGACCACGGCAGAACCCGCAGCTCATCACCCACAGAGCCCAAAATCTCCACGGATGGGGACCTCTGGCCCCACCATCCAGGCGGTGACGGGCAGCGCTGGCCCGGCACACTGATGGGGAGGGAGCTTTGGATTCGGACTCACCAGCAGCTCCAGTGCCTGCGCAGAGGATTTTGCTTCCAACGCGACCTTCCCCCGCCTTTTCTTGTCCTCGCTGCTGGAGCTTTTTGTGCTGATTTTGGGATTTCCACAGCCTTGGAAAACCTGAAAAACAAACCAAACCCTCTGTCCCCTGTTTTGATACTGCTTCTTTAATTAATCTGCACTCCACATTTATGGTTTTTGTTGATTTTGTTTCATTTCTTTTCTTTTTAAGCACATTTATCTTTCCCACCTGCAAGATCTCCAAGATTCTGGCTTAGTTTCTGGTCAGGTCCCTCTTGTGCCAGGACTGTAACTGGTTTTGGTTACCGCTAGCAAGCAAAAATGTTCAACACGAACGCAAAAATCAGCACCGTGTTTCTGGATGAGTCACCAATGTTGATATTAAATCATTTCTAGCAATTTTCTCTGTTCCTATACTGGAAAATAGAGAGCAGAAGTGCCTGAAGGTACCGATCCCCACACTTGGTCTCTATGAGGAGATGAAGGGTGCCCTGGAAGCACCCGTTTCTCCCAGTCTGCATGGCCAGTGCAGGATACGACACCTCCAATGCAGACAGGCACCGTGGCTGCTGGAAGGAGTGCCTGGACAACCAGATTTGATGGAGCATCACAGGTCAGGAGGGCCTTTGCACTGCCAGTTTGGTTCAGGAAACACCAGCCTTTGCGAAGAGAGCCGTCTGGTTTGAAAAGATGGCTCCGAGCTCGTGGTGGTCACCAGGGCGCTGTCAGAAGCTATCGACAAATTTGACTTTGCAGGGTGTCCCCTCAAAGCAGAGAAATGGAGACCTCAGACAGGAGCACAGCTTGTGCCAGCTGCTGAGGGCTTTTGCTTTTGCAGGGGATTCTGACAGCCCGAGTCCTAACTGAGACAAGGGCCCCTTTGGGGACAGCAGGTCTCACTGGTGTGACTGGGGGACATTCAGCCTCGACAGCCCCCTCCTGGGGTGCGCTGTCCTGCTGATCAGATGGATCCAACAACCACAGCAGCTCAGCACCAAGCTGACTGTTCATCTGTCTCTGCTCTGTGCAAAAAGCCCTGCCTTGAAAACCACGTGTAGCGCATTTTCAACTCGCTTCTACCAAAATAAAGCCAGTTTGGTTTCACTGCTGTGTCTTGCTTATTGGCCCATCGCTGTCATCAGCAGGGGACAACTCTTGGGTAGATAAAAGCCCTGGGAGGTCTCCAGGACAGTGGCTCCTGTAGCAGCTCCAGCACAGCATGGTATCAATGCACTCCTCTTGTGAGCGCAAGGGCTGTAGGTGAGCAACACCCACTACTGATGCAGCCAACACGCGTCCTGCAGGCTGAGGTGATCAACAGTCTTCCTTATGGAAGTCTGCAGCCTTTGATAGCTCCTGCTGCCCAAAATCCATGACCATTTACTCCTTTTAATCTTACCAGATTTACTCTATGGCCCTCAGAAACACCTTTCTTTCCAAACTCTGCCATGTTTTTCCTACATCATGGGCTTGCTTTTATGTGGACGACCTCGGTCTCACCTAACAAGGGAAGAATGAATATGGGCTTTTATGTGAGAAAAGAAACCTAAAGGAGTACTTGGATGTGTGCTCCTGTTAGTGCTGTGATGTGTGCCAGTGAGTTCCTGCTTGCCTGGCCAGTGCTGCTGGCCCTTCCCTTCCCCAGGACCTGGTTAGGACCTGTCTTGCTCCTTTCATCTGTGTCTCTACCCTAAGCTGCAGGACTTGGGGAACGTCTGGGCAAAAAGCAGAAGCCCTGGAGGGCTGGTACTGCTCCCAAAGCTTCTCTCACCTGCAGCTACAGAGGGGACTGTGGTTAAGTGGATAAATATACTAAAAAACAGAAGAGCAACAGAAGAGAGCTTCATGATATACTTTGCAGACAACAGGTGAGCATCAGGAGAGCTGTATTCTCCAGATGGATCGCCAGATTGCAACTCTGTCCCACGGACAGAGCCCGATAGCCCCGTGTTTCCACTGCAGAGCATCACTGCCAGGCACGTTAAAGCCTTCTGTCACCAGGGACCTTGCATCTTCTGTAAATATCTTGACCAAAATACTTCAGGACCCTTCACACAGAGGCATGTGACAGCAAATGATGCTCTGCCTCCCACAGCCACTGCACACCTTGTGTGTCTGTACCTGAAGAAGGCTGGATGTGGCAGGGAGGAGTATTTGGAAACACCTGAAGAGGCTTCTGCCTGTGTGAGATGGGTGGTTTCCTGTCATTAAAAGAGTGGGCATTTGATCTCTTTCATCCCTCACCTCCCTTAGTTCAGCTGAATAGTGAAAACAAAACAGGCTTGAGTCCTGGCAGTCGCACATGGTTCATCCTCCTCCAGGCCCAGGCACCTGCTCTTACCTTGGCTGTGATTGAATCTTTGTTTTCTTGCAAGTTCGAAATAGCCTCAGCGATCCTCATGTGAATGGTCCCGATCACAGTGTCTACGTTGTAGGGGCCATCAATCCGATCAGCCACCATGACCAGGGAATCTAGTAAAATAAGACAGAGATATTTCTTATCAGACCCTGTATAAACAAGTTAAAGAGCACGCTCACACTGAGTGGGACAAACTGCTGGTCCCTTGGCAGGCTTCTTGGGAGACATCTCTCCATTTTCATCCCTGCCCAAGCCTGTGCTCATTTTCCTCTGGCAGGGGACAGCTCTCCCTTCCCAGCACACAGGTAAAGCCATCCTCAGTGGCAGAGAAACAGAGGTCACCTCCTGCACATGGTAAATGCAACCTTTATTCACACATGAGCAACGCTTCCTGGGGTGCTACAGAAAGGACAAATGGAAAATTAGTGCAGAAATGTTAAGTAATGCATAGCAATACTTGGCCCTAACCCTCCTAACTCACTGCATGTCATCAGCAAAGCACTGCAGCCAGCAGAGAGTGGGAGAACCGGGGTCAACGAAGTGCCAAAGGCACTGGAGGGGGGCAATAACTGGAGGGAGGCAATAGCTTCTGTGGCAGTGAAGGAGTGAGAACAGGAGCAATTCTTCTCACCATCACCTCTAGGAGGACAAGACATAGGCAGTGAAGGAGTGAGAACAGGAGCAATTCTCACCATCACCTCTAAGAGACATGACCAGCCAAGGAAATAGCAGGCTATAAAGGCAGCGAAGCAGACCAAAATGCCCACAGTTAAGCTGGTAAACAGGACAGCGAGTGGCTGAGCCAGCCAAGGAAATAGCAGGCTATAAAGGCAGAGAAGCAGACCAAAGTGCCCACAGTTAAACTGGTAAACAGGACATGGAGTGGCTGAGGGTGCCTCTTGGTCTCAGCATCTCTTGTATTGGAAAGCTCTGATGTCCAAGTGCTGGCTGGGATGGCTGCTTTGGGACCATGCTTGGCTTACAAAAACCCTATCAACAACCGCCTACCTCCAGAGCTGGTTCTCAACACCCCAGTTGAGGCTGAAGCAAGGGCAGCCTACATGCTCACAGGGCTTGGGGCACTGGGGAATGCCACTGCATCCTCGGTGTCCAGCAAGATTGAAATAGGACCTCAGGGCAGGGCCAAAACTGGGTTTTGACATCTAAAGTGGGACTTTAACCAGCTCTGACTTGCCCAGTCACAAACTGTAATTCTGAAAGTCACTGCTACGCTGCTGCTGCCTCAGTTTCCTACCACGTGTGCTTTGGTAGCCCAGAGGCCAGGCCATGCACAAGCTTCATTTGGGGACTTGGCATTCAGCTATGTGTGACCCCAGATGGCTGCAGGGTGCTCTGCGTCCCTCAGGGCACACCAGAAACCTCCTGGCAGGACAAGAGATCAAGTGGACCATGCTCATCTGGAACAGAGAGTGCTTCATGACCCTGTGGGCCTCACCACAGAAGGAAACAAGCGTGATGGCTTCGTGGTGGTTCTTCTCTGCACAAAGAGGTCAAATGCCAGGGTCTAGGTTGGAGCTCTGTGCCACTTGTAAATGGAGTTATTCATCAGGATCGATTAATTCTTCTGTCCTAAATCCCGATACCTCGCCCACCAGGCTGGCAGGAGACTGCCACAGCAGATGGTGTGATGTTGCAGAAAGGCTGATTCAGCACAAGTTTGTACTGCCGACGTTATTCATGAGCAAACAAACCACCAGGTAAATTGTACCCAGCAGTTCAACGGAGCATCACTAAAACACGTCCTTCAACCTACGCCGCCCCGCAGCGTGTACATGCCACCTGCGACACCGCTGTGAAGGACTGACACTCACCTTTGAGCTACACGGCAAATGTCCTCCGAGCAGGAGGCCACAGACCACTGCCACTTCAAACCTGCTGGGAAAGGGTTCAGTCCCTTGCCTGGGCAAGCCAGCTCCTGCAGGACTGGGCAGAAAGACCCCAGACGCCATCCACGAGGTCTGGGTGAGGTTTGTGCAGAGACACTCGGTCCACAGCGGATGCAGTGTGTTAATAACAAAGGTCTGATCCTGAGCCTGCCACGGTCAATTCAACTCTTGCAAGGATGTTCTCTCTGCTGTGAGATGATCGATGTTCAGAGCCTGGGAGTCTTTAGAGAACCAGCCAAGCTGGGCAAATGCCAGACAAGGAATGGTGCAAACCCATAGAAGATACCAGATCGTGCCCACAGGGCTCACAGTCTGAAAGCAGGTCCAAGGGCAATAGTCAAACAACTGGGAGGGCTCAAACCTCAGCCAGTCTCGAGCACAGACCACAAAAAACTCCTTGCTCGAGTCTGTGATACAGGATTTAACAACATGCAAAGTCACAGCTTGGAAACGTTACGGACTTACTTTAATTGCTTCAAAAAAACCTAAATGGTTCACTTGAGCAAGGAGGAGAGAGAAGGCCACAGTTTCCAAGTTAAAGTGCCCTCTTTTCCTGCAACACAGACCTATGGCAGTGCTGATTTCTAAAGCCAAACGTGCCATACAAGGGGATAACGTCTGGGATTTTTGTTGTATTCTGGGAAATAACTTCCTGCCACATTAAAGAGTTCACAGTTTAACTTTCCTGCCACTCAGAGGTTGCGGTGTCATCGTCAAGGGTGTATTTTCCAGACAATATTAGCTTGCAGAAGCAGTAATGTTGAGACACAGACATTAAAATCAAAAGCTGCACCCCCAAATTAGTGATAAATTATGTTTGAACCACTTGCTATAAAAATTTCCCTTACTTCAACCTGCCCTAATTTGTCAAATTGAAGGAGTAACTCTGTGTTTAGTGCAACAAAATCCTCTTCAGCTACAGAGAAGGGCCTGGAGAAGGGTGAAGAACGGAGGATGCCAATGAACTGTTCTCTTTGACTCTACATCTTGCTCCAGTCCCTGACCAAATTGTGACCTCTGACGCTAAAATGTACAACTGCCATTTGAAAGAAGCTCCAAATTCCTCCTAGCCATCACCCTTTGGGGTGTCTCTTGGGGAAGAGGAAGCTGGAATAAGTGCAAAATGCACCGGGAATGGCCTCCCTGTCAATCAGGGAGAGCGTATGCTGGCCTTTTGGGCAGTCATCCTGCCAGGACAGCAGTGACAGGTAACAGCTGGCTCGCTCTGGTCAGAAAGGCCACAGCACCATCAAAGTCCTGGTGCAAACCCTTGGGGAAGGGAACATTCCTCCCCCTCTTTTGCAGCAGCCTCCCAAGCGTCTCTCATGGGGAGCAGTTCCAATTAGCCACAGGACGCTGCCTCTCGGTTCGTTAGCGCTCGGAGGGCAGCTGGCCAGCGCACCCCGACCAGCAAGGGCACCGTTCGATGCGGCTCAATGCTTATCTTGCAATGTCCCTTAAGAGGCCGAGGACATTCCCTGAGCTTCAGGGGGATTTACTTACTGTTACCACCACCACACATCAACCCCGAGCCAGCCCCTCGGGCTGCAGCTGGCTAGGGAGCTGCTGGTCTTGCTGGCCAGGCAGTGGGTGCCAAGGCAAGGGGAAAAGCCAAGCCCAAAGCTCATCTCCTCTGGTGCCTGCCTTCTGTGAGCCTAGACAAATATCAAGGTTCCCTCAGGTCTCAGATCACTCCAAATCTCAGTGTAGAGAGAAAGAGGAGCTTGCTGGGTGATGCTGTGTGGGCACATGGAGCAGAGAGATCTTGACTGTTGCAACCAACCTCCCCTGATGGGGATAGGACGTGTGCTGTAACCATTCACTAAACCTCACCAGCCTTAAACCGTGTCCATCAGCTCCACAAGCCCCTCTCAGCACTAGTTCACATTTAAACCAGGAGGGACAGGCTCTGGAGAAACAGCTGAGTGACACCTGAGGTCTTCTTCAAAAAGAGATGCCTGGGTCTGACCAGGCAATGCAGAATTTCCTGCAGAAATGCCCAGTTGAAGTTCTCCAGCCTGCGTCGCACAGGGAGATCAGACCACACCATCACAGTGATATTTCTCACTTCAAACTCAACGAAATGGACATCTCTATACACATACAACCACTTTAAGATATCCATCATCCTGAGTGACAAAACAAAACTAAAATGAGCCCTTATTTTAAATACAAACCTCATTTTCCTATTCCTGGTGATGTCTGTAACTTCCCCCTCCCCATGTATTTGTTTAAGACACTTAAATCACTTATGTGATTCTGGTCCCTTCACTCTCCACCCATGGAAACAGTTTATGGCTTCACGTCTCTGAAACATCACCCAAGAAGGGCAGCAAGTGCTGCTCCTGTGCTCTCACTGGTGCTCTGGTATGGATGAGGAGGGTGCTCTGGCAGGACCTGTCCTTGAGCTTCAGCATTTTGGAGGGGAGGAAGAATTACTTGATTGTAAAGCGTGGGCAAACCCAAACAAGCACAGGTAACACGAAAATAGTTTAAACCCTTGTTAGCCAGCCCAACAGCATCCTTTCTAGTGGTATTAAAGCCCAGCAAAATGTCCTGCAATAGCTTTCAGGCTCAGATCACAGACAGAGAAACTATAGTGGAAAAGAGCTCCCAACAGCCCTTCTCTACTCGCCTAACATTGCCCCAGAGGGCTCAAAGGCTGCAGCTCAGTGCTGCAGAGGAGGAAGGCCACCTTACCCATCAGGTACTTCCACTCGGTGTTCAGGTCCGCTTGGTTGGCCAGGCAGCCCTTCACGACGTTCAGGCAGTAGTTGTTGCACGGCTTCACGCTGGACATGCCCCGGCAGTGCGGGCAGTACATCAGCTTCATGATGGCGCGAGTGCACTCGTGGCTGAGAGATACCTGCAGGAGACAGATGGGTCAGACTTCCCCTCTCACTGCCTCTCTTTCCTCCCACCCTTCCTCAGGGGCCATCTTTGCTGTGGGGATGGGATGACCAAGGCAGCCGCTATTTCCTTAGGCTGGAAAAACCAGTGTGTGAGCACCAGCCCCCTGCCAGCCACCATGGGGGTGGCCATGAGGACAGCTGGGGCAGTGTGTCCCTGACACAGGCCACGTGTGTGTGCTCTTGGAGTCTCTGCCATCAGTGCCACTGCCGTGCCCTTTCTGCAGGGTTTGCTGTCACCACCCGGCAGATGCAGGTGTCCCACCACAAACCGCATCTCCGGCTTCCTGGGGACGCACAGCAGGGGCCTGGACATGGACATCTTAGCTGGCACCTTCGGAAAGCACAACGGTGTTGGGGAAATACTTGAACAAATCAAAAAATACAGGCAGTCGAGAGCACTCAACATGGGGAAGTGATTGCTCTCCAAAAGCCCTTCAGGAGCTGCAGGCAGCCACTCAATTGGGTCTAAACACACCAGCGGCTCGCAGGCACCGCACGTGCAGCCGACGCTCTGCAGAGGCGACTCCGGAGGTGGCCTTGCCCCCTTTAATTAAACCACCACAGGCCCATGAGCAGAGCCAACGCAGGTGCAGAGCCCAGAGAGTGGGGCAGCAGCCTCTGCAGCACCTCGAAGTCCCCCCAAAGTCTCCCCTAAACAGTGCCCTGCTCCCACTGCCACGGGCAAGGGGCTGCCAGTGTAAGCTGAGGGATGAATAACAGCCTGGCAGACCCTGCAGAGACACTGGCAAAGCGCAGCGCTCCCCTGTCCTGTTGCTGAAGTGTTTTCTCCTCTGTGGTCTTTTTCCATCTTTTCTCAGATCCATTTGCAATTTTTTTAAACCGTTTAAAAAAATAAACATCAGTTTCCGCCTGCAAATCTCCCTTGGCACTCAACAAAGAGCCCAAAGGTGGAGAAGTGAAGGAAGGGGCTAAGCTCAACATGGAAAAATCCCTGAGCCACGAGCTGCAGCTGCAATGCTGAAAAACATACATCTTGAACATAGTCATTTAAGTTACTTGTGGTGAACTCCAGAAAGATCCAGTTCTGAGGTACCCCTATCAGAGTGTGAGCATCCTGAGCCCACCATCAGAGGCTGAGATAAAAAATCCCTATGCTTTCCCCATCCTGAAACTGCCTGCACGGTAGCACCTCTCTTCCAGTCAGCCCTGGAAAACAGCT